AAGGCGAGCTCGTAGACCGTTAAGCCACTATATATATATATATATATATATATATATATATAGACTTTCACCATAGAATTATTTCAGATGCATGGGAACCATCCTAAACATAGCGAAATTCTTGTTTCGATAATCTGACTACCCTCGATCTAGTGGAGTGACCTATGCAGTTGACCCCATAGTCATTCTTAAGGCATTGTAACTAGATTATATATATTTTTTGTCTAATCGAGTCAGTGGGGTCATTGAGTCTACAGAGCTTGTCACTCTAATTCCCGCCGTATTGACAATCATACGTAGGATTTCGAATGTCTTTTCCTTATATAGTAAAACTGTGTGGAGGGTTCATCTTCCTTATAAAGGTGAAATACATAATTCAGACCGGCAGATAGCCGTCAATCAGATCTTCGAAGCTTATTATTGTTCCCTTGGGTTCCTAGTGGAACATAGGGCTTCAACCACACGTCTCCACTTGCTTCTGTCTTCTGCTGTACTTTTCACCTGCATCCATGTTAATCCATACTGTTTCAACTCTTCTTCACACGATCTCCTCCATGTCACCCTTGCACTGACGTCCCACTCGCCGCCGATTCCCTTTCGTGTTCCACTCGAGCGTTGGCCTGACGCGCCATGTCACCCAGCGAGTGGCCTCCTCAGCCAGTGAGTGTTCAATCCATCTCTACCTTCTCCTGCATATTTGTTCGTTGGGCGATTGCTTCTTGTTTCGTTTGTTTCCTCCCATAGTTTGTTTGTTTCTTGTTGGTTCTTGTTCTTTCCGGCGGCCATCTGATTGATCTTCAGTATAGAGCCAGCCAGCGAAGACAGTTAGTTAGTTGTTGATAAAGGTGTGCAACAGGCTGTTGGAAATACTCATTCTTTGTGACCCACAACTGGCCAAGTTTCTGATCCATCCGTATAGAAGAAGTGACTGACTTGACTGACTTGACTGACGTTTGTATTGAAAATCCGAATTTTGTTGTTGTTGATGTTGAGGAGTGACGGCGGAAGATTTCGAGATTGGTTTCAGGTTGATGAATGTGTTTCTCGCCTTCCCGATTCTCCATTTGACATCCTCGTCCGTTCCACCTGCCTGTAGTTGAGACAATGAATGCTCCCTAGATAAGTGAATGAAGTAACCTCTTTCATCAAATCCATCCCGTTGATGGTGATTGGCACTGGATGTTGCTGATGCTGTCGTTGTTGGTTGGTTGGTTGTTTTCATAACCTCCATCTTGTCTATGTTCACCTGGAGTCAGTCCTGTCTTTGTTGCTTCTTCGACCAGTTTGTCGGTTTTCGCTTGTAAGTCTTCAATTTTGTCTGACATCAAACATAAATCATCCACACGCGAAATCCAGGTCTTCTAGGTCCTTCACGTCAGTCCAAGATATCCCTGTCTTCTCGTTTCCCACTGTCTGACGCATAATCCAGTCCAGTCCACCACAATTAGGAATATCATTGGTGATAATAAGCATCCTTGTCTGACTCCTGTGTTTACTCCAAACGCCTCGCTGAATTTTCCGTTGTGGATCACTTGACATGTGCCGTTGTCTTACAGCTGTTGAATAAGGTTGATGAATTTTCGGGGTACGCCGTAGTACTCGAGCAGTTTCCAAATTACTTCGCGGTCAAAGCTGTCGAAGGCTTTCTCAAAGTCTATGAAGGAAGTTGAGGTAGGGGTTTGATTGCCATTCCATGCTTTGTTCTGTGATGATGATGATGCGTAGAGTTGCAATTTAGTTAGAACATGATTTGCCTTTTCTGAATCCAGCTTGTTCTGGTTGGCGGAATTCTGTATCCAGTGTGCCCTTTATCCTCTCCAGGATGATGCGACTCATCTTCGAAACTTAGAGATTTAGATAAATGGCATAGAGAAAGATTCAATAATCGCAGTGCATGCATTAACACACACACACACACACAACAGTGTGGGACAGAACGGCAGATCTAAAAAGCGATACAGTTAAGTGGGTGGGGTGGGGAGGAAAGCACTGATCACTGATCACCTTGATATTATTATGAGCAATCATCAGTCGTTCTCGAAACGTCAGGAGTAAATAAACATAATATTATATCATCACTGTATTTTATAAAATAAAGCTAACTATAACTGTCATGGAATTATGCTCTACCCCACCCCACCCCATCCCAGTGCTAGAATTTTTATCCTTGCATCAAGGAAATAAAAGTTTCTGACTGAAAATATCGATTGGAAAAAAAGAAGTTTCATTTGATTTATTTCGATCTCATAGTAAAAAAAAAAGAAATAAGAAAATTTATAAAAGTCAATAGCGTCAAAAACTCCCGAAACAGACAGAGATAATTAAAAGGTTTTGACATGAAGGAATGAATGAATGTGTATTCGCCTAGTTTGTCATACTACTTTTACGTTAGAGTTTACCGATTGAAATAAAAAAGGCGTAAACCCATGAGGTATATAATAAAGAGGAAAGCCATATGCCCTCTCCTAGACTGAATGCCTTGGAAATAATGTTGCATTCCACACTTAATTTACTCCTTTTGGGGGGGGGGCTATACATGTGGGTAATAGTGTGGTGAGAACTGTCTGTCTGCTAGCCAAAATTGGTAGACCCCAGTTTACATCAATGTTTACTTCCCAAATCCTGGTGTCATGAGAAAATAACAAGAACAAAGAGACTTTGCGTAGGCGGAGACGATTCGCAGACATATGGTCTGACCTTCAAAGAGGCTATAAAGTTACATAGATTGAGATGGCTAGGTCACGTTGTGCGCATGCCTAACCATCACCTCCCCCAGCCCGCCGACGGGCATTACTAGCTAGCTGATATAGGTGCATGTTGGAAAAGAGTAAGTGGTGGCCAAACAAAAACATGGATGGCATCAATCAGTCCATGAAATTCTTCCTTGACAGTTAAACTGAGTCAAGTCAGGTAGAGAGATGCAGACTTCCGGGTTGGTTGAGGCCCTCGGGACTCTAAGAATCAATCGATGTCTGGAGACAGACAATAGGTGACATGGCTCAAAATCGTTGTCAATGGCTTACGCAGATGTATTCAGTCTCTGTAATATTCAGTCTCATATTCCTTTCTACCATTACTCATTCTGTTTCACTCTTATACTTGTCAAAACTCTATTGATTCTCTTCACTCATCTTCTTGTCTTGTCTACCTTTATGTGGTATTTGGAACGTGGCAACTGGAACTGCTGCACTTCGGTGCCAAGTTCTATGTTGAATCCAGACACACAGACAGAGAGTGTGAATAACCACCACACAATACGTGTGGCTCATCTCCCATCTGTATAGAGTTGCAATCGATTGTTGTGTTGTTGTACTTTAAACTAACGCAGTAAATACTGATGTGATCTGAAAAACCCCCTACAATGGGGTCATGAATTTCTAGAAATTTTGTAACACAAGCTTTTAGTCTACCACAGATTAATACAATCAAATATATATTGGTGAAATACAATTGTAGGCAGGAAAATCAAGTCACTGTCTATCTCTTTTAATCCTTAACACTAGGCAAATAGCAAAACAACACCAAGATGCTAATACATGTGTTACTCAGTACATACAGTACATGTATCACACAATCGACAACATAACTGATGACAATCCGGAATCAAACTTGAAATTGATCAAATATATCTGCAAACTGCAACTTGAAAATTAATCTGCTGTTTACTAGTAACTGATTACAGAATGAAGTTGCCTCGAAGTCTAGTGAAAAGTCATGATTACCAACAGGGCCTTCCAAGTCGATGATGACATTTGACTAGTGGTCAAACTATTTAAATATAGAATCGGCGGACGTTAGAATTTGTGGGTTACTAAATTCTATTTCACTGGCTGAATGGTCAACATATTTACCTCGTAGTAACATAAGGAGTTCAGTCTTCGGTGAGGTCAAGGGTTGGTACTGCTGAAAAGACCTGAACAAAGACGAGACGGTTCTCTAATTGTTGTTAATCCGTGATCAAAATTGAAACGAATCATGTCGCTAAAAAAACCACCAGTTGAACAAAGAAACTCATCCAACTACGTGTCTTATTTTCTAAGATTAAGTGAGATGATTTACAAGGTAATACGAAGATTCAAATATATCATCCCCTGCTTTCGTCACACAGGGACGATACTTAGTTAGTAACACAATATATATATATATATATATATATATATATATATATATATACGAAAATAACCAACAACAACAACAGCAGCAACGACCAGCGCCCATCACCATCAACGGAAGGGATTTGAAAGAGCTTACTTCATTCACTTACCTAACGAGCATTCATTGTCTCAACTACAGGTAGGTGGAACGGACGAGGATGTCAAATCGACAATCGGGAAGGCGAGAAACACATTCATCAACCTGAAACCAATCTGGAAATCTTCCGCTGTCACTCAACCCAGCCAGCATCAACAACAAAATTCGGATTCTAAATACAAACGTCAAGTCAGTCACTTCTTCTATACGGATGGATCAGAAAGTTAACCAGTAGTGGGTCACAAAGAATGAGTATTTCCAACAGCCTGTTGCACACCTTTATCAACAACTAACTAACTGTCTTCGCTGGCTGGCTCTATACTGAAGATCAATCAGATGGCCGCCGGAAACAACAACAATCACCAACAAGAAACAAACAAACTATGGGAAGAAACAAACGAAACAAGAAGCAATCGCCCAACAAACAATATGCAGGAGAAAGTGGACATGGATGGATTGGACACTCACTGGCTCGCTGAGGAGGCCACTCGCTGGGTGACATCGCTTGTCAGTCCAGTGCTCGAGGGGAACCCGAAAGGGAAGCGGTGGCGAGTGGGACGTCAGTGCAAGGGTGACATGGAGGAGATCGTGTGAAGAGGAGTTGAGACAGTATGGAATATCATGGATGCAGGTGGAAAGTACAGCAGCAGACAGAAGGAAGTGGAGACGTGTAGTTGAAGCCTTATGTTCCACTAGGAACCCAAGGGAAAAATAATAATTATAATCAAATCAAATGAACAGAAACTTACGTCGAAATTCAAAACTTGATCAACACCAGGCTTCATGATATGTTTTGGGAAATTATCAACTGTCAAAAGAATTTTGAATGAAGAAGAATAGAGGGAAAACAGTAATGAATAACTTTCATATACAAGGTTGCATAGCTTGAAAATTATTCTCTCTGAAAAGAATCACTTAGCTGAATATCTTTTTGATTTTATGAAATATATGTAAATGCTTAAGCTAGCTACTTAACTAAACTTCAAATCATCCGAATAGTAATAATTCAGACTGGTTGATTGGAGGGTTTCATCATGAGCTGACGTCAGTTAGAGAACCACTGGAAAACTGCCAGGGAGTACTGGACAGGTATTTCGTCAGCCTAGTTTCCTACTCTTCAGCTGTGCGCACCCACCACCGGAGTGTGTATCTACTAGGAATGGAGACTAGGCCCCCTGCCTAGCTCGCGAGCATTCTACCAACGAACCTCCGACGCGCTCGATATATGTTAGTCGGGCTCAGTTTGGATGTTTTCTGAGCTTGTTGAAATTCTTGAGCTTTGATTAAGTTCAAATTTCTTTCGAGATTTGATTTTTACTTTTCAGCATCAAAGTTAGGAAATTTTCGACTGAATTATTTTCAGTCTGACCCTATTCAGGCAGGTTGAAGTTGAAGCAGTAACTCTTCGAAGAAGACGCTGCGAAGTGGTCGCACTATTTCATGAATTGGCAGAAGTTAGAATTCATGGGCTGGCCATTGGATCAAGTCCCAGTGGCTCAATGGTCTACGAGCTCGCCAGCCTTGTAACCAGAAGGTCCTGGGTTCGAACCCTGTCGGTGGGTGGGTACTGCTGAAGAGTCCCAAAATAAGACAAAAACAGCTGTTCAGTACTCCCTGGCGAGTTTCCATGATGAAATCCTCCATTCAATCAAACAAAATTGCCTACAAAATCAATACTTTAAAAATCATATAATATCCAACTGAACATCCCACCGTGAAATAAATTCATCATTCAAATAAAGAAAAAAATTTTTATTAGATAACTTACACATACGTACTAATTGATCAACAATTTGAATATATGACATTCTATAACGATCCGATTCACTTAGATTTTGTAATGGTAGACAAAGTTTATTATCATAAGTTAATGCTGGTACATTTAAATAATGAAATAATACTATAGAAGGATTCTGTGAAGAAAAGGAGAAAAAGGAGAAAAGTCAATGTATTTCTCTGTTATATACAATTGAAAATAATAGTAACAGTACAAAACGAAAGGCACAAGTTTTATCATCGTGTTTGTCCACTAATAATGGACGTGAGTTTCGTCCTGATTACGACTCATCATAATCATCATGGTGTACCAGTGACTGATAACATTCCCACTGAGCATCCATTCATCCATCCATCTTGCTACTGAACAGTTACAGTCAACTCTAGTGCAACGGATATCAATTTTTGAACTGATTTACCGGAACTAACAACACGAGGAATTCAGAAAGTTCAAGAAATGAAATGGTTACTTGTATAGCAGAAAGTACTAGATGGTTAGAGGCAATCGGCAGGAAGCCTTGGACCTAGGTTTCGTGCTAGCTGGTACTAATCAGCAAGGCGTATATGCAACCTTGAAGGAACTCATGTCCCTTCTGAGATTCGAACCCGCATCACCCAGTGCTGCAGTTAGAGACGTTACCAATGAGCTATTCAGGCTCGCGACTGACCTTCTGTAGGACTGTATTGCTGATGAGTGCCAACTAGCACGAAACCTAGGTCCAAAGCTTCCTGCCGATTGCCTCCAACCATCTAGTACCAACAAATCACAGTGCACCGTAATGGTGAGCCACCTAGCATGGTGGCCACATTGCAAACATGACTGATAGAATTCAGTCTGCACCGAAGATAGGACTAGACACATTACACTAGTTACTGACTAGCGTTCAATCGAAAATAGCAGAAAGTCTCAAATCTTATAGATGTAACAGAGTCGATAGTACTTCTTATAAATTGACGCCACAATGAATGACTTGCCTGCATTAGAAATCTAAGTAAATCACTATTCCACTAGTAAGAAATTCTTAGGTAATAAAAAAGCATCTTTAAGCAATTTTCTAACTGAGTGTTCATTCCCCCTTTTAATACCTTTCAGTCATGCCAAGTAATCCACAACGGGAAACTTACGGAATCCTTCGAAGTGAGGACAGGAGTAAGACAAGCTGGCTGGCTGGCTGTCTACTATCGCCAATGATTTTCCTGATTGCAGTAGATTGAATAATGCGACAATCAGCGGCAGACAATGAGGAAACAGACATAAAATGGACTCACACAAAAAAACAACTTGGAGGATCTGGATTTTGCCGACGATGATATATGTCTGATTTCCCACAAACTGGAAGATATGCAAACGAAAAGCAACAAGTTGGCAGAAGAAGCATCCAGAGAAGATAGGACACCACTTCAGGTGAACATTGAGAAAACGGGGGTGATGAAGATTCCTGGCCAACACCAACACCAACACCACCAACAGAAATAACAACAACAACAGACAACAATCAGCCGGCATAAATGGAAGGAACCTGAAAGAAACAACCTCCTTCACCAACCGACCTATCTGGGAAGCATCATTTCAACTACAGGCCGGCGGAACTGACGAGGATATCAAAGCAGCGAGGATCGGAAAAGCAAGACAAGCTTTCACTACTCTCAAGTCTGTGTGCAGGAGGTCAACAGCCCTACTCAGCACACAGTATCCTACACCACGCAATATCGCACATTCAACTTTAAAAAAGTCATGGAAGTGTTAGTTACATACAAATCGCAGCGTATTATATTCTAAAAAATTCTGGAAAATTTAGTCGATAAGTCTGAATAATCCGGTTCAAAGGTTAGCGAGGTAGACCCACACATACACATTTAAATTTTGCAAAAGATAAATAAATATCACTGTTAATTTCTAAAAAAAAACAACCCAGTAAAATCAGTCTTACAAATCTCAGTGCGTAAGTTCTACGATGAAATGTAGAAATCAAAGCGGAATGTGCATAGTTAGCGATGATACACTACAAAAAAGAAAAAGAGAACGTATAAATAGGATGTACTGGAAGAAAAAAAAAGATTGAGCGAAGAAATATTTACTCTTTTCAATTAGATCCTCATCTCATTCTGGCTCTACTCTAATATATTCTGTATACCATTTTTATTACAATACACAACAGTTTACCAAACAAGTGGCACTGATATGTTTGTTAACAATAATTAGTCAGTGTCAAAATGTCAATGGGTTGATAATTAACGAAGAAAATCAATACACACAATTAAAAGGTAGAAATGGATAGAATAAATTAATTTTACAAGGATAACACGTAATTCAAGATGAAGTGGTCAAAATCAAAATAAAATAATTTTTATAGTTTTTAAAAGTTTAGGGGGATGGAGGCGAAGTAGTCGGGTTTATACATTCTTGTAGAGATGGCCAAGGTAAGGAAAGTGGCTGTACAAATTTCTTCTGTACACATAGGCTTGGCTTCTTCTGGTGGATTCCAATTGCTTCAGCTGTCTGTAGAAGACGAACTCGTAGAGCAAAATTAAGATTAGTCAGAATGCGATAAATAATTTTAAATGCAGTATTCACATCAACCTTATGCTCAGTATCAACAAGGTGTGCTAAAATAGAACTACGAATAGATCTTGTTTGTCCCTTGCTTAACCATGCTGCAGGATGATGTTCGGAAATACGATGATGAACCTGCCTAATTGTACGCCCGATGTAGCTGGCTCCGCAGCTGCAGTCAAACTGGTAGACACACATAGAGGAGGCAAAATTAAGTAGTTTATCCTTATTTCTCGAAGATTACATGTTATCCTTGTAAAATTAATTTATTCTATCCATTTCTACCTTTTAATTGTGTGTATTGATTTTCTTCGTTAATTATCAACCCATAGACATTTTGACACTGACTAATTATTGTTAACAAACATATCAGTGCCACTTGTTTGGTAAACTGTTGTGTATTGTAATAAAAATGGTATACAGAATATATTAGAGTAGAGCCAGCGTGAGATGAGGATCTAATTGAAAAGAGTAAATATTTCTTTGCTCAATCTTTCTGTTTTCTAAATCCGTCTAAATGGGGATATTTTCTATATTGATCTAAAATAATAATAATAAACCAATTAATATGGAATTACATGCCGCCTGCCACAGTGTTGAAGTCTTCTTAACACAGACACCAACAGTTTCTTGTACAAAATGATACATGCTGTAACAGCAGAAGGTAAGACACGAAAGCCAAGGTATATTTTCAAGTGATCAAACCGCTATTTATTTATATATATGCACAGTTTTATATTCTCTAACCAATCATTGAGCGTGTGATTTTCGTTTACATTAAACGACGTGAAATAGAACGCTCAAATAGATATAATACATGGTATTCTGTTGCTAACGCAGTATTGAATTGTGGGAATATGTGATGTAACGCTGGCGAACTACGCGCATTATTCTCTACACGTCCGATGGTACTACCTCGACTGAAAGATGAAGTACCTAAACTAGCCACTTCAAATTGTATCTATCAGTTCATCTGCGCTTGTGGAGCGAGTTATATTGACCGTTGCTCTAGGAACTGGATTTTTCGTGCTCGCTCGAGAACATATCCCACTATGGCTAAGTAAAGGTGCAGTTAAAACTATTAACAGCTCGATATTAGACCATCTGGTGCAAACCGGCCACAAAGCCAGCCAACGTAGAAGAATCCTTCACTATAACATACCGGTGCCTAATAAACTGCCAAAATCATCGAAGCACTACATGCTCCAAACACCAAAGACTATTGCAATTTGCCTCAAACAACCAGTGCTCTGTGTTCAAAAGAAACAAGTCCAGCCACTACTACTGCCCTGGTCCTCAGTAGAGACCATAAACTCATGAATTTGTACTATTATCTTTCCTAATTCTTCTGACATTCAGCTTATTTTATGTTGATGCTGTTGAACTGTAATCTACTGATATTATAATTGATTCGATGTTGTTTAAACAGCACTAATGTTGTTCATTCATTCATTCGGTCGGTCGGTCGGTTTTCGACATAGAACTTTGCACATATGTGCGCCAGTTCAAGTCGCCACACTCCCTCCTTGTAGCACACAAAGCAAGAGAACGAAGTAGATGAAATGCATAATAGAGAGGCACTAAACAGAGGTGTGAGACAAAGGAATAGTAATAACGAAGAACAAAACAGTTTCATTGGAAATCATAAGTCACAAGGAGTGGATGCATCTGCGCCAGCCATTGACAACGATTTTGAGCTAGCCATGTCACCGATTGTTTCCAACCTTCATTGGTTTTTACCGTCCCGAGGACCCCAACCAGTCAGGAAGCCAGTCTACACCTTCCTACGTGGCTGGCTGGCTGGCTTAAACTAACTAATGTGGATTTCATTGACTGGTGCCATGTTTTCGTTTGACCACCACCAGCTAGCTCCTTTCCAACCTGACCCTATACCAGCTAACATCGCCCATTGTCGAGGGAGGCGATGACTAGGCGTACGTAACACATGTTATTACCATCTCAATCGATGTAATTTCACAGTCTCGTCGATTGATTTCCTTTCGTTACCTAGCACTCGACCGACGCCTAACCTCAGTATTGCTCACCTTATTATACCACTTCACACGGGAGATAGAACACAGGCACATATGATCAAAGACAGCTAGCCAGCATTTTCATGTCCTGCACTCTCAATGGCCAGGTCTTGCTCACAGCTATAAAGGAGGACGGAGTGGACTGATAAGCAGTACACACGCTCTTTGGTCGATAGCGAGTCGGATATCACGTCTACTAAGCTAGAGACGGCGTATACTGGCATATGCGAAACTAGCCCTCTGTATCCGTGCTGATTCAGTGGTAGAATGCTCCACCAATCCTGCACATGGTCTGCAGTTCGACTCCTCTAGTCAGTTGTAAACCCAACAAAGAGGGAAGATTGAACGTGAGTGAGGCTAGTAATCTCACCTTGTAAAAAAGCACCCCTGCTATTTAGACTTCTAAGCTGAAACTTGAAGTCCTGTGTTCCACTCCGAACGCAATAATAATTATAAAAGTTAAGGAAGGTTTAATATGGTAGAATGCTCGTCAACCACTCGGGAGATTCATGTTCAATTTTCTAGGCCGATGCACTCCTAAATCTCCCCAAGCCAGCAGTAGTAGTAAGTTCAGACAGGAGAGGAAAGGTTAGGTTAGCAATCCAACCTTGTAAAGACAACACCACAACTACTGAAAATTCGAAAGACTTAAAGATCTATATTTTCCACTCAGAACGTAAAGGAATCTGATCAACTTTTAATTCTACTTAATAAAATCCCAATAGGAAAAATATTCAATAAATCGAAATGCGTGTCTTTTCGACCTCGAGTATGCAGACGATATCGTCTTACTGTGCGATAGCATGCAGGCTGCCCAAATCGCACTTAATCAGTTGGCGATCAGTGTCTGTAAGTATGGTATGTGCTTTGCACCGTCTAAGTGCAAAGTACTGTACTCACTCTTGCGGGTGAACCGCTTGAAGTAGTCGATAAGTTTGTGTATCTGGTTAATTGTGTGAGTGCTGGCGGAGGGGTGACGGATGAGATTTTCAACAGTATAATGAAGACTAGGGTGGCATACATCAACTTGTGCCACCTCTGGCGCCGTCGCGACGTTAGCCTGGCTGTCAAAGGTCGGGTATACAATGCTTCAGTGCGGGATGTCTTGCTCTACGCCTGTGAAACCTGGCCTCTCCGAGCCGAGGATGTGAGGCGACTCTGAGTGTTCGATCATCGCTGTCTCCACAAGATTGTTTGCGTTCGATGGCATCATCGCGTGAGTAATTCTGAGGTTCGGCGGCGTGTGTTTGGACACAGTGGAGATCACCATTCATTGAGTGTCGTCATCTGGAAACACCAGCTCCGGTGGCTTGGAGATGTGCTGCGAATGTCATCCTAGAGGCTTCCGTACAGGTCTCTGTTCGCTAGCCCTGGGACGGGATGGAAAAGGCAGAGGGGTGGTCAGTCCATGACGTGGCGTCGTGGGATGAAGGATATTTGTGCTAAATTAGCATCGGTTGGTGTGTCACGACTCCCTGGTTGGGGTCCGCGAGATAGCTCGAATCAATGGCTCGAAACGTTATCGGATATGGCCAAGAATCGTAATCAATGGCGAACGTGTTGCAATTTCCTTCTTTCTTTCCTTCCTGATGATAGTTAAGGAATACTGTTTAAACTTGTTAAACATGACTGTTTTCCTTCCTGATGAAGTTCTTTATCCGTCTTCTACTTATATTTGTACTTTTAATCTATGTTGTTTTATTATTATTGTGTGGCGCATCTTTCTTGGTGCCATATAGTACCAAGTTTTTCTGAGTTTAAATAAATAAATAAAATAAATGCGTGTCTCTCTAATATATTCAGAAGACTGACCTCAATACCTTGAACCTTAAGAACCATATGAATTTCTTTGGTTGTACGTCGACTTGGTTTCCTTTGCCATAGATAACCATCTTGTTTACGTGCTAAGGTGGCCAATTCGCGTCGATAGAAAATAACAGAACCATTTCTAGGGCTACAGACATATATGTTGGAAAATAGAAAACATACAAAAAAAACTGATAACAGTAGCGATAAAAAGCAAGATAAATTAGACAGAAAATAAACTTTCATATAATTGTAAAGTGCTTGCAATTAGCTTGGTATATATATATATATACATGTATATATACATATATATACCAAGACGTCGCTGATTGGTTTAAGTACTCAACTTCCAACCAATGATTGATGGGTTCGACTCCTATTTTGCCTACTTTAGGCTGAGCAAATGGGAAGTATTGCCAAACTTCATATAATTTTTTTTATCCTTCACGTTCCCCAGTGGAACATAGGGCTTCAAGCTAGTTGGCTCGAAGTTTCTGCAGCAGTGTTTATTTATTTTACAGGATGGGATTGCTAGCCTCATGCCCAGCCCAACCTTTCCTCTTCACCAGCATTATTTCTGGCTTAGCGAGGTAAAGGAGTGCGTGTGGCCGAGGATCGAACCCCGGACCATGTGCATGGTCGGCGAGCGTTCTAACCGTTATGCCACCGACGCACATAATACATGTGACTCTTAACATGATACATGGAAAATCGACCAAGTTAAAGCAATAACAATACAAGGGAACAAAAGCACAAGCAGAGCAAACTAGTGAGATCAGGTAAAAGACACTATATATTCTGTTTTTTTCTTAAAACCATTTAAAGAAGTTTTAAGAATATCAAACAGGATATCTGATTTGGTTCGGGGAAATACATTAGGGTTGGGCTTAAGCAAGGAATAAGTAAAGGTTAAGTCATGCAAAATTAAGGGTCGTTGTTTATAAAGTTAAAAATTAGTGAAAGGAATAGGGTTGAATTTGAGTTGGGGAATAAAATTTGCCTTTTTTAGGAAGAATGGTCGTTTCAAGAAATCTGTTCAGAGTGACGAATGATAGACAAGAGTACTACTCTGCACGACTATTATTATTATTATCATAATTATTATTGTTTCCTTTAATTCCTAGAGGAACATAGGGCTTCAGCAACGCGTCTCCATTGCGTTCGGTTCTCTGCTACAGTCTTCACCTGGCTCCAAGTCTACCCACACGCTTTCATCTCCTCTTCACATCACCTCCTCCAAGTCACCCACCCTCGAACTGACCACCAACTCGCCGCTTCCAATACAGTCGGGTTACACTCGAGCAATGGCCTGTCGTGTGATGTCACTCACTTGATGGTTTGTTTCCTCAGAGTATGGCCAGCCAATCAATCCATCTCCATTTCTTCCTGCCTGCCTATTTCTTTCACAATCGGTTCCTGCTGTGTTGGTTGGTTCGCTCATTGCCAGAGATCCCTCTCTGTTGCTGATCTCTTCTGGGCCGGCCGGCCATCTGATCTTCAGTGGTATTGAGCGAAGACAACTAGCTGTTGATGAAGGTGTGTAGTTTGTTTGAGATGCTGTTTATGACGCGCAGTGCAGTGCAAGTCTCTGATCCATCCGTATAGTGAGTAGCACTGACTGACTTCACATTGGAGTTGAAAATCCGGATCTCATCTTCGTTTTGATGCTGACTGAGTAGGGCTGTTGACCTCCTGCACACAGACTTGAGAGTAGTGAAAGCTTGTCTTGCTTCTCCGATCCTCGCTGCTTTGATATCCTCGTCAGTTCCGCCGGCCTGTAGTTGAAACGATGCTTCCCAGGTAGGTTGGTGAAGGAGGTTGTTTCTTTCAGGTTCCTTCCATTTATGCTGGCTGATTGTTGTCTGTTGTTGTGTTTCTGTTGGTGTTGTTGTTTCTGTTGATGGTGTTGCCCAGGAATCTTCATCACCTCTGTTTTCTCTATGTTCACCTGAAGTCCTATCTTCTCCGGATGCTTCTTCTGCCAACTTGTTGCTTTTCGCTTGCATATCTTCCAGTTTGTGGGAAATCAGACATATATCATCATCGGCGAAGTCCAGATCCTCCAAGTTCTTTTTTGTGTGAGTCCATTTTATGCCTGTTTCCTCATTGCCCGTCGCTGTCTGTCGCATTATCCAATCTACTGCAATCAGGAAAATCATTGGCGATAGTAGGCAGCCAGCCAGCCAGCTTGTCTTACTCCTGTCCTCACTTCGAAGGATTCCGTAAGTTTCCCGTTGTGGATTACTTGGCATGCAGCATTGTCGTACAGCTGTTGGATGAGATGTATAATTGTCGGTGGCACCCCTTGGTAGTAGCGAAGTAGTTGCCAAAGCACCTCTTGATCGACGCGACGCTATCGTAGGCCTTTTCAAAGTCGATGAAGTTGAGATAGAGAGGTGACTGCCATTTTCTAAGCCTTGTTCAATGACTTCTTAAATCTCATTAAAATGAAGCCGAATAGACAGGTATGAGACTAACAAGTTAAAATTCAGTTATCTAGTATATAAGTATGAATCATGCTTTCTTGATTTACTTACAGACAAAATAATCTGACTATATAAAGACTGAATACTAATAACTGATTATCGCTAATAATATAACTCCTTACATTTACGCATATGAAGTTAATCACTAATATAGTAATCAATAAGAATGGAATGAATATAAAAATTAACATTTTTATTTTTATTAGATAATATTTTGAATTTCCCGTTGGTAGATATGCATATTTTTTACGAGTTGATCACGGACTGATATCAGTTAGAGAACCATTGAAAACCAGGGAGTACTGGACAGCTGCTGTTTCATCCTAATTTTGGGACTCTTCAAAATTTGCAGAAGTTAGAATTCATGGGCTGGCCATTGGATCGGGTCCCAGTGGCCTAGTGGTATATTCCCAAACTAGGATGAAACAGAAGCTGTCCAGTACTCCCTGCTTGTTTTCAATGGTTCTCTAACTGATATCAGTCCGTGGTCAACTCGTAAAACATAACTAATCCTTACAAACCAAACTATAGATATGTATATTACTCGAAAGAAGTGCTTGGTCTCTGTTGATATTGTGTTAGCCTCTTTGCATGGATGCTTCAATGGTGGTGTTCGATAATGGATTCAAATCACTGCTAGCTAGTACACCCACCAACATCAAACAAATAATATCACATTATTTGCAACTAATAGTGTTCTCTGAGCTGGTTGGTTTAGTTGCGAAGCTTCCGTCGTCCCCCTGCTGGACAACATCCCCTTTCAGCGCCATATTTAGCACAAACTGAAGTGATTTAAATTTCTTCATGAGTGATATAATTGCGTCTCCTGGTAATTATCTTTACATATGTATTGACCATTTTCTATTGACTTGGTGTCCCCTTCGAATCAGAATCCAAGAACATAAATCAGTCGTGAAAAGACACGATATATATTCTACAGTATAAATGCATATAGACAATTATGGACATCAATTTGATTGGCATAATGTCAAAATCTTAGACAGAGGAAACACCAAAATTGCAGTCAGGGAATTCCTATTATGCTGGTACTCACAAACGAAAATGCAATTAACAAACACGTTAATATAGACGAAATATACCAACTAATGAAAAGTAAATCATGTGACCAGAAAGTTTAAAATCCAAGTCAATAGGAAATGGTCAATACATATGTAAAGATAATTACCAGGAGACGCAATTCTATCACCACTCATGAAGAAATTTAAATCATTTCACTTTATGCTGAAAATTGCGCTGGAAGGGGATGTTGTCCAGAAGAACAACGAAAGCTCCGCAACTAAACCAACCAACTCAGAGAACACTATTAATTGCAGAAGAAAAAGTAGCTAAAGCTTAAATTTTTTTTTGAAATATTTGCAAAGAAAACAATGAATAACGAACTCACTACTTTAGTTGTGTGCTTTTTTTTCCACTTACCGTACATGAACAAATGGTGAAAGCCAATCTGGGTGTACATATGCTCCTAGTAAAAGTTCTGCTACTTCCTTAAATTATAAGTAAAATGAAAAAAAAGCGAAATAGAATAGAATAAAAAAATATGACAGGAGGAAAGAATTACCAGTTTAAAACTACTAAAAATTAAAAAAAAAGTACTGAAGATACTTTAAAGACTTTGTTTAAGTTAATTTCGTCAAGGACTGAAATCAGTTGAGGAAGCAGTAAAAAAAATAAGGAGCACTAGACTGGTGTTTCGTCCTAGTTTAAGACTCAGCAGTACACACCCAAGACCACACTAGGGATCGGATTCACGGCATTCTGGCAACGAGGCGAATCTATTGACCATTCGATCACTAAGCTGTAATCCTAAAACCAGTGAATTTCAGCTTTTGTCTATTCGTGACAAAATCTATGCTAAAATCATAGCAGTTTCATCATATTATAATTAGGCATAAAGTAATGTTGTTGTTGTTCCCTTGGGTTCCTAGTGGAACATAGGGCTTCAACCACACGTCTCCACTTCCTTCTGTCTTCTGCTGCACCTTTCATCCGCGTACATGTTAATCCATACTGTTTCAACTCCTCTTCACACGATCTCCTCCACGTCACCCTTCCACTGACGTCCCACTCGCCGCCACCTCCCTTTCGGGTTACACTCGAGCGTTGGTCTGACAAGCGATGTCACCCAGCGAATGAGTGTCCAATCCATCCATGTCCACTTTCTCCAGCATATTTACTTGTTCGGCGATTGCTTCTTGTTTCGTTTGTTTCTTCCCATAGTTTGTTTGTTTCTTGTTGGTGATTCTTGTTCTTTCCGGCGGCCATCTGATTGATCTTCAGTATAGAGCCAGCCAGCGAAGACAGTTAGTTAGTTGTTGATAAAGGTCTACCTGCAACAGGCTGTTGGAAATACTCATTCTTTGTGACCCACCGCCACTAACTTTCTGATCCATCCGTATAGAAGAACTAACTGACTGACTTGACTGACGTTTGTATTGAAAATCCGAATTTTGTTGTTGATGCTGGCTGGGTTGAGTGACAGCGGAAGATTTCCAGATTGGTTTCAGGTTGATGTGAATGTGTTTCTCGCCTTCCCGATTCTCGATTTGACTTTTTTATGCCTTCGAGGCATAAAGTAATACCATCTCTTAAATTATGTTGAGACTCAGACATAGCACCCATGGATGGAAAAATCAAGCTAATGCTCGCCAGTGGCCGGCTACAGGATGAATTTGTCTAGAAAGAGTCCTAGTGAGAAGTCGTGACCAATGGGGTTCATCTGGTAGGGAGTGGGAACAAATACTCGCCGATAACATTACCTGGCGTCAGTAGCGTTAAAATTACGAATTCGTAGAAGCTAGAATGCATGGGCTAGCCCCTGGAGATGGGTTCTAGTGGCTGAACGGTCTACAAGCTCGCCTAGAAACAGAAAAGTCTTGGGTTCAATTCCTGCTGCTGCCGAAGATGTGAACAGTACAGTGGATATTTTTTTTCACAACCATGAAAACGAATACTCATCAGATACATTAATTAATTCTCATTATTAGAGGGAACATAACCCCAGGAGACACAAATGAATCATCGACATTTAGTGATATGACTTAAAATCATTCTCAATAGCACAGATGTATTCACACTTTGTAACCTCCAAGATGCATTCAGTTCTCACTTTTTTCACCATGTAATTATTCTTTCTCCCGTAACACTTCCGTTGATTATAGTTCCTATGAATTTGTCTTTCCTCTACCACTCTCTTTCTCTCTGTCTAGCTTTTTGTGTACAACATGGAGTGTGCAACATCTTGAGCTATTACACTGCTGTACAAATTTCGACGTTGAAATTTAATCAGTCATAGACAGACAGACACTATGAGATAGTTTTTTGTAATGAATTCAGAACAGACGCGGTATTCAGCAAAAAGAGAAGTACTCATTATAATAAAGATTTTCTTGTATTTCCCAATGAATGAAAAACAATGAACGATATTGTCACTTTTACTGACGTTTCGCTATTTAATGCTAATAACTACTTTATCAAAGTATTATTAAACCGAAATTTACAAAATCCACTCAGCATATATATATATATATATATATATATATATATATATATATAACAAAGAGTTAGGGGGTGAGAAAATAGACAAGTTAGGTCAAGTTAAAGGGGCATATTGAAAGTCAAAATAACAATGAAGATCACTAAACCAAATAACAACGGTAATAGTACGTCTGTTATGAATCAACAAAATCAACACAGACATTAAGTATGGCCGAAAATGCATTCCGAAGACATGGACATCAACAGTTGTCATTCCATATAGAGCAAAGACGTCAGACGATATCAGAACAGCACTCAATCAGCTCGACATTAGAGTTTTCTTCAAAACATCAGACACACTTCAAAGCAACCTTGTCCATATAAAAGACCAAATCCTTAAAGATTCTCTATCTAATTGTGTCTATAAAATAAAATGCTTGTAATGTGATGCGATATACACCGGACAAACATCTCGAGAAATCAAAATGAGAAGAAATGAACACCGTAGAACATTTGTTCAACCACCGAGAAATCTCGTTGAACTAGAAAAACTTGAAAAATTATCAGCCATAGCTCGTCTACACGCTATAGAATCAGGCCACAAAATTGATTTTGACAATATTGAAATAATCCAGAAAAATTTCGGAAATCACAAAGAACGTCTAATATCAGAAGCACTTCATATCAAATGGAATCCAAATTGTCTGAGCTGAATAGGAATGATGGACTAAAACAGAATTTGACCTGGTTACAACATCTCCCTCCCCCATGAAATGACAAAATCAACACGAATGTGATAAACAAGTTCATTATGTAAACACACACTGCTTTTATAATTTTAAACACTTATCAAATCCATCGATCTACACTCGGTTTTGTTATCTTTACCAATTGGTCAACATGACAACGAAATGACCCCATGCTGAGGAACGATGATCAAGATATCATAACAGACGTACTATTACCTTTGTTATTTGGTTTAGTGATCTTCATTGTTATTTTGACTTTCAATATGTCCCTTTCACTTGACCTACGTCTATTTTCTCACCCCCTAACTCTTTGTTATTATATATATATGCTGAGATTTTGTAAATTCCGGTTTAATAATACTTTGATAAAGCAGCTATTAGCATTAAATAGCGAAACGTCAGTGAAAACAACGATATCGTTTTGTTTTTCATTCATTGGGAAATACACAAAAACCTTTATTATAATGAATATCATATACCCGATGGCCAAACTTTTTCAAACCGTTAAAAGTGAACTTGGTTTGGATACATATATATAAAAAAGAGAGGTAATTTCAATAAAGGCAACACACTAGAAAAATTTTAAGTTTGAATTAGAACTGGAAAATTTCCCTGTAAAAAACAATAAATGAAACACACATCAACATACCTTTTGATTGTACCAAATAAGTTTTCGTGTTACACACACTGAGGGAATATTAAGATGGCTTAAAGATTTGGGAATCTCAAGTGGTGGAAGATTATGCAATTGAATAGATTTTGCTTCATTGTTATTACTCGTATTATTATTATTATTATTATTATTATTACTAATGGTGACAGCAGCCGTGGTAGCTGTAGTTGTTGTTGTTGTCTCACCAATAAATGGTGTAACAGTAGTAATATTATTGTTATTGTTATTATAATTAACTGATGGATAGTTTGATAAAAATTCACAAGATTGATTATTCATCTGAAAAATTGCATCGTTTTTTTCTTTTCTGAAAAATTGTTTTCCTTCACGACAACACACTCTGTCGTTGAATTCCCTCTGTTGTTTTCCAAATAACAGATATTAATTTTTGGTAAGCTAAACAGTAAAAATAAAAGAGTAGAAATAAGCATATACAATCAATCGTCTACTACAAATAAAACAAACATAAAAAAAGAGTTATACCTATATAAAATAATAGTCAATAAATCTGGAAACGAGAAAACAGGGGTATCCTGGACTGACGTGAGGAATCTAGAAGACCTAGATTTCGCGTGTGGATGATTTATGTTTGATGTCAGACAAAATCGAAGACTTACAAGCGAAAACCGACAAACTGGTCGAAGAAGCAGCCAGAGAAGACAGGACTCCAGGTGAACATAGGCAAGACCAACAACAACAACAGCAGCAGGAGAAACATCCACCGCCAATCACCATCAACGGGAGGGATTTGATGAAAGAGGTTACTTCATTCACTTATCTAGCGAGCATTCATTGTCTCAACTACACGAGGAACGGACGAGGATGTCAAATGGAGAATCGGGAAGACGAGAAACACATTCATCAACCTGAAACCAATGTGGAAATCTTCCACTGTCACTCCTCAACATCAACAACAAAATTCGGATTTTCAATACAAACGTCAGTCAAGTCAGTCACTTCTTCTATACGGATGGATCAGAAACTTGGCCAGTAGTGGGTCACAAAGAATGAGTATTTCCAACAGCCTGTTGCACACCTTTATCAACAACTAACTAACTGTCTTCGCTGGCTCTATACTGAAGATCAATCAGATGGCGGCCGGAAAGAACAAGAACCAACGAGAAACAAACAAACTATGGGAAGAAACAAACGAAACAAGAAGCAATCGCCGAACAAATATGCAGGAGAAAGTGGAGATGGATTGGACACTCACTGGCTGGCTGAGGAGGCCACTCGCTGGGTGACATCGCTTGTCAGGCCAACGCTCGAGTGGAACCCGAAAGGGAATCGGCGGCTAGTGGGATTTCAGTGCAAGGGTGACAGGGAGGAGATCGTGTGAAGAGGAGTTGAAACAGTATGGACTGACATGGATGCAGGTGAAAAGTACAGTAGAAGACAAAAGTAAGTGTGGACGTGCAGTTGAAGCCCTATGTTCCACTAGGAACCCAAGAGAACAATAATAATAATAATATAAATCTGGAGTTGGTCGTGGAATTCCATGGGGTGGTTACCCTCTTAACAGAAGAAGCAGATATCCTTAGAAGGTGGACAGAATACTGTAAGGGACTCTACAATCATAAAATAAGCCCTAATTATAGCCTAATAAACAATTCATGCTGGGACAATAGGGAGATCGGTGATTCACCCATACTAGAGTCAGAAGTAGAGGAAGCAATAAAATCACTTAAGGGAGATAAATCACCAGGAATTGACAACATACCGGCAGAACTAATTAAACATGGTGGACCACAAACAGTTAAATGGCTGAAAGCAGCCTGTCAAAAAATCTGGCAAGAAAAAGAATGGCCTAAAGAATGGACTCAGTCACTAATCATTCCAATATTTAAGAAAGGGGACGCAAAGCAGTGCGAGAACTACAGAACAATAAGTTTAATCAGCCACCCAAGTAAAGTCATGCTGAAAGTAATATTGAACAGACTCAAAAAGAAAGTAGAGGAAATACTCTCAGAAGAACAGGCCGGATTCAGGCCGGGCAGAAGCACTGCTGAACAAATTTTTAACATAAGAGTACTAAACGAAAAATGTCTACAACACCAAAAAATGCTAGTACACAACTTTATCGATTTTAAGAAGGCCTTTGACCGTGTGTGGCACGAAGGCTTATGGCAAGTCATGAATAACTACAATATAGATAAAAACATAATTGAGGTTATTAAGTCTTTATATAACAAATCTAGTAGTGCAGTATCTCTAAATAATCAAACTGGCGAGTTCTTCAGAACAACTATAGGAGTACGCCAAGGGTGCATTCTCTCACCAGTCCTCTTTAACTTATTCCTCGAACATATTATGACACAAACCCTACATGACTTTACACCGACACTTAGCATAAACGGAAGACCAATTTCCAACCTCAGATTTGCTGATGATATAGCCCTCATTGGGGAAAACATTGATCAAGTTCAGGACCTCACCTCAAGACTTGATGTTGCAACCAAATCTGTGGGCATGGAAATCAGCACAGAAAAAAGCAAAATACTCATTAACGGAGGAAACAACTCAGATAGATGTATCAGACTTGATGGACATGTATTAGAAGAGGTTGAAACTTTCAAATACCTTGGGTCTACCCTAACAAAAGATGGAAGGTCCACTAAGGAAATAAAAATTCGACTAAACCTAGCCTCTGCCACCATGTCCAAGTTAGGGAAAATATGGAAGAGCAACATCAGCGTCTCAGCAAAAATGAAACTCTACTCGTCACTGGTCCTCTCTGTATTCCTATATGGATGTGAGAGCTGGACCCTGAATGCAGAGACAGAAAGAAGAATACAAGCCTTCGAAAACAAAAGCTATAGAAGGATCGTAGGAATAAGTTACCTTGAAAGGAAAACTAATGAATATGTCTTACACCAGGTCCATAGACTGGCAGGAAAACAGGAACCACTCCTTTCAATCGTAAAGAAACGGAAACTACAATGGTTCGGCCACACGGTAAGACATGACACATTGTCCAAAACAATTCTACAAGGCACAGTAGGAGGAGCACGAAAGAGAGGTCGACCGAATAAGAGCTGGCTTGACAACATAAAAGAGTGGACCGAAATGCCCTTGGATACGCTACAGAAAATAGCATTAAACCGAGAAGAATGGCGAAGACTGATAGCGCGAACTGTCATAGCACCCCCACGACGAAAGTCAAGGGACTGATGATGATGATGGTTGCCCAATGAATGAGCCATGCTTATTGTGACATTGATATAAGAATAAAACTTGGGCGCTGTGGTAGAGTGTAATTCCATTATGGGTAAATTTTATTTTGATAGAGTCTCACAGTGTTGTTATACAGTAATATTTACTGATGACGTTTCGAGCACAATTTATTTCTGCTCATAATCATATCAAGTTAATCACACGACTTCCTAAATTCATTTATATAGTTCCATTGTTTTTCACTTGATTTGATTCGTAGTATTATTTTCCATATTTCAGGTATGAGTGATGATTCATTCCTATTGCATGTGTTGAGTGTAGATTCGATGAACAAGGATTCAGTAATCAACCTCTCCTCCACTCCACCTACCTAGATTACTTTTTAGAATTTCAACCCTCTCCCACCCTATTGTGTGGTTATGTGCCAATGCATGCATTGCAATTGCTGAGCTTTTTTCTAAATTACTGATCTTCTCAGGTGGGGTCAACCATTCTTACCTTGGCTAAATTCTTATGTTCTGACAATCTGACTACCCCTGACCTACTAGTTTGACCTATGTAGTTGACCTGACTCACAGTCATTTCAGGGTATTTTGTAAATTATATTATTTTGTCTAATTGGATCCACTGGGTCCTTTAACCTACAGAGCTTGTCCTACCTGAGTGAGTTTGTAGGTTTAAATGCCACCCTCTTTATATGGTATAACTGTAGATGACTTATATTCTCTCTTATTTATGTTATTATTACCAGTTCCACAATTATTTTTATTTTTCTTTTGGCGTTTTTTCAATGTTCCTAATGAATTTTAGAGGATAGTTATTTAAAACCAACGCCTTTTATATCTGTTTGATTTCATCATTTAGGTCTTTTTTGTGCTACTTAATGTCATTGCTTGGCTTGTTAAACACTTAACTAAGACTGCCTTAACATTTAAAGGATGAGATGAATTAAAGTCTAAATATCTATTAGAATGCGTTGGTTTTCTATGAACACTAGTGTGTAGTTTGCCTTCTTCTATTCGTTTTATTTTACAATCTAACATAGCTAATTCTCCTTGCTCATTTTCGGTTTCAAATGTGAATTTTATTCCCTCCACTAATGAGTTTATGTGTGTCAAGAAGCTAGAGATATGTTCTGTTTTTAACACTGTGAAAGTGTCATACACAGGTGAAAATACCTATGGCAGGAAACATTTAAGTTTCTTATTTAACAGTCTTATTTAAATTCAACACTCAGAAACTTAAGGAGAATGGTACAAAAGGGAAATCTGGCCTGTAATCGTCAGGAATATGTCGGAGACATTAAGCGATTTCACCAGGGAAACTTGAGTGGAACAACACTCGGAATCTTTGAAAGCGACACCTTAGAAAGGACGAACAAGGGGGCAAGTAGTGGCTCACTACGAACACCTGGAAGATGATAGAGGGGAGGAGGATAAAGAATCACAAAATGAACCAGATCAAACATTAGGAACGAAAGGAGAAGCTTAGTAAAAATTACAGAGCACTGAATACGGGGAAAAAAAGCACTAAGAAAGACTAAAGACGCTTTTACTGCACCCTGGAAACTGAAACAGAATGGAAGCCAAGTGAAAGAGACCTCAGGACACTGTATCAAATAACCAGGTCCCTATCCAGGAAGAGATCAACGCAGAAGAAGCCGGTGAAAGATAGCGAAGAAAACACATTTATCAAAGAGATGGAAGAGAAGGAACGCTGAGCTGATCCTTGCAAGGACTAAAAAATCGAGCACCACCTGCAGCTTGTCCGGAAATGTAGGGCTGCGGCTTATTGGTCTAGGTGCTCGACTTTTAACTAGCGGGCCACGAGTCCGAACCCTGTTCCACCTGCAGATGTCTTCACACAATGGGCGGGGCTCACTGCCAAATGCATGGTGGTTGTTGAGTAACATTACGATTTCAATTTTGTCCAGAAATAACAACGACCAGACAAAACTACCAGTGAATACCGACCTTCCGACGAAAGCATAAGTTATGAATGTCATAGAGGCACCATAAGGTGGGAAAGCGGCAGGACTACAAAACCCCCTCGGGAGCACTGGAAACGGACCGAGAAACTTCAGCTCACGCCACTGCTACAGATGTGGAAGGAAGGAAAAGTACCTACTGAGTGAAAGAAAGGCGACCTTGTTGAAATGCTTAAGATGAGTTACACAAGCCTACTAGAGAACCAGCGCAGAATCATGATCCTGTCAACCCTAA